TGACAATGGATTTAAGGCTGTTTAAATTCATGTTGTGCTAGAAGTCATCTTTCATTCTCTTAGTAGAGGCATACAAGTTTGGTTTTTTTCTTCAGTCTGAATGTTGTTCATCTTAAATCTCTTGGTACAGGGAAGCAGGTAATCAGGCATTATAATCACATGGCCTTGGCTCCTGGGAGTAATTCCACAGCATTGTGTCTGTTCTGTCTTTCTGTTGACAAGTCAAGTCCACTCAATTCCAGTACATGATGCACCTTTATGACATAGTGGTACTGCTGTTACAAAATCATCATGGCAATGAAAGCTAGGCAAGGCTGTCTGACAGTGGAGCAAGTACAAAGAATCCTTCACACCAGTGTCCAGAGGGGGGAGGGGGGGCGGGGAAATCAACCGAGCCTTCTCCTGTGTTTAAGAAAAGGGTGGATGAACTACTTAGGGATATGGTTTAATGGGAGATTAGGAACGGTTGGACTGGATGATCTCTAAGGTCTTTTCCAACCTAGAAAATCTATGAAATCTATGAAAATCTATGGAATCTATGAAAGAACTCTCTCTATATCCGTAGCTGTGTCCCTGCTGTGCCCTAGCACTCCTGTAATGAGAGTTTTTTTTCTGTTCCCATGCTAAGTTCATCACTTTTTCTGTTTGAAGCTCTTTTGCCATAAGGTGTCATATTCAGACTGGAAAACCTCTTCTTAGTTTTCCTAAGATTGCATAGAGGAGAAATTTGCAAGCCAACCTCTAGCTTACAAACCATGAAAAAAAATGGAACTCAGTTTAATTGAACAGAGCCTATATTAGAAGAAGCTCCCTGGCATTGGGAGTATTTATTCTGTGGACTTGCATGATTTTCTAAATTTTGATTTTGCAACTTCTCTAACAACAACAACAACAACAACAACAAAATACCTGTATTGTTAAATGCAGATCAACTGTAACTTTAGTGTTATTTTAATTGTTCATGTTACAATCCTGAGAATGAAGCCTAATACATACCAGCTTTTCAAGAAAACCGGTTCCTGACGGCCAGTGCATTTAGATCCTGGAACATGTGAAGGTGTATTTAAAGTTGACAAAGTTTCTTTGATAGCTCAGGAGTTGTGCTAAAAGAGTGGTAATGCAAAATATATTTATACCTTTTTTCTCCTTTTTTGCTGAATTAAGCCAACTTTGAACTAGGAAAAAACTAGGAAAAAAAGTATCTGTGAGGGCAGAGCATCCAATGCCAGTAGAGACAGTGTAGAAGTTTTTGAATATGATAAAATCCTGCCACTAGTAAATGACTTCAGACTGCTAGAATATGATATAATCTTAATTTTTCTGCGCCTGTGGACTTCTGTGATTAGTTATCAGTGAGATTATTCAAGAAGATGCAAGTGTTGCGCGGACTGCTATTTTAATGAAAGTGCCAGCTATGGCCATGGGTACTGTGTGCATTTAGCATTCATAGAGTTTGAACCACGTGCAGAACAGTGACCAAAATGACACACTAACCAAACCAGAACTGTTCAAGTCAAGAGGGTTTTTTTTTAAGTTACTCTATTAGTAGCCCTTTCCCCTTAAAAGGAAATATCTGATCTGTCTTAAATATAAGCTAAATTTAAAGTGGAACACTTAATGGCATAAAATGTACATACATTAGAAACATGTAAATACCTACTAATTTCTAATGTGACATAGTGGAAGTGAACACCAATGAGGACTCGTGACATTTTTTCCAGCATATTGCAGTTGAGATAAACTAATGGATGTTGTAACAACTTTGAATTACATTTAACAAGCCGCCCTTGGAAAGAACAATAACTGCTGACTGGTACAGTAGCAGTAGAAAGAGCCTGTACACACTCAGAATTTAATAGCTTTTAGAATTTAAGGGTCTTTAAAGTATTATACATCTTGTTGTATGTACAAGAGGTATAGTGTTCTAGCCTTCAAAAAGATACTTTTACCCAAAATTACGAGCCATGGAGCCTGTTGGAGAAGTTACAAAAGGGTCCATTTTCACTTGCCTGTAAAATAGATTTCCAACTAGAAAGGAAGCATCTTTGCCAGAAACCATGATGTGCCCCAAAACATTGTGGCATGAATGAAAGGCAATATTTATGAATGATTCTTGTACCCAGTCATTTGTTGCTGAAAGAAGATGAATCTGTAGAGAAATGAAATCCTTCAGTCCTACTCAAACCCAAATCCTACTCAAAACCTTGGAATTTGGAAATAAGTCAAAAGTAACTTGAATTCCGTCACACTACTATAATTTTAATGTAAAAAGCATTATATAGAAGAAAGATGAACATAGCAAATAATAGTTGTACACAATAGTCAAGTAAACATCTTTTCAGTATAACACAATTGTAAAATTGCTGCACAATATAAAAAAATCAGAATAATGGCAGTATAAGATTATTAAAATATCTTAAACCAATTTTAAATGAGATTTTAAGTATAAAACAGTTTGTAGCTGCTGATGTGAGGTTTTTATGCAGTCATTTGGTATCATTTGCTGTCATTTTTAAGGCCAGGTTAGATGAGGCTTTGGGCAACCTGGTGTAGTGGAGGATTTCTCTGCCCATGGCAGGGGGGTTGGAACTAGATGATCTTTAAGGTCCCTTCCAACCCAAACCATTCTATGATTCTATGATTTGGTACTTTTAATGTGAATTGAAAGCTGCTATTGAAACACAGCATATTGCAAATATAGCATTTTCACAAAAATAGCACAAACCATACAGGTTTTCATCCATCAAAGAGAATAACTGCAGTAGTTGTGTAATAATAAACATTATCTCAGAATTACTGTTTTCAGAATTGTGAAGATACAAAATGTATGTAGGCAATATTATAAAGTTATTAATGTGCAATTCTGATGTAATTCAGTGCCAAAATGCATGTTTTTCCAAATAGCACTAAAACGAGGCAAAGAAAGTAGTTTTCAAATTGTGACTTCTTTGTCACATCATAACGTAAACCAATTTCAACATTTTGGTTTGTTTTGTGTGAAAACTGTTGCACTATATTTGGCTGTATTTTCCAGCAGTCCTCTGCATGCCATTTGTGTAAGGATTCTTTCTATAATTCTTGTGAATTGTCTCACCCATAATAACCCTGGTGTTGGAATCTAGGTTTTTGGCAAAGTATTTTGTTACCTCAGTCTTGTATCAAGTTGCTGTATTTTTGAGTTTGTTACATTGACAATGATTGTTTCACTAATTAAATACTTTAATGTAAAAAAAAGTTTGTTTACTTCAACAACAATTGCATTTGGTTGTAAGTTTAAAACTGTGCAGAGTATGTATGCTGTTAACAATAAAATATTCTGAAAAAGAATAGTAGAGGTATAGAAGGAACATTTTAGCTCAAAGGCAGCAAGCATATTTTATTTGTGAATGAATGGTATACACAGTGGAACAGACTATAGTGCACAGTGTGTAGCCATTTCATAGTATAAATACAATAGAATCCAAATTTCTAACAGAAAATGGAAACACCCTCCAAATTTGCAGTTCTTTCAAGTGGGATTTGGAAAGTCTAAAGTAGAGACGAACCTATCCTGTTGTTTTCCTAAGAAATGTATTTTATCACTGCCACACTTGCATGTTGGCTTGAATAGCAAGGTATATTTCTTTGCACTTACCATTAAACTTTATTTACATACTTGGATTCTCAATTCTACCCACTGAAATCAACAGGAGAAAATATTTCATCCACTAATAAAATTATCTGCCCTGCATTACACAGTATGTCAGCATAGACGTGTAATAATATCTTCTGGTATTAAAATCTGAATTTTCCTTTCTACGTTTCAGTGATGAAATCAAGGTTCAGTCAGAACCTCGAATGCTGAGCACAGCTGACAAGGATAGCCTAGCAACCAGATGTTCAGTAGAACTTTCTCTTGGAAAGATCAGTGTGGAAATGTTGACCAGTGCCCATCTTCTTTGATTACTTCTCTTCTTATATGTATCGTTTTCCTCTCTATTTAATTTCCTTTTGAATTATGGAAATGAAAATTATTAGTGTAGGGTTATTACTAAAATTTGATTATAGGAAAACACAACTAGTAGTCAAATTTAACTGACAAAATTCTGTTTAATATGACTCTTTCTTGAGCACAGAAATGCCACACATAGCTAGTTAAATTGTCTTAGTGCAGCCTTGTCTAGTTCTCACACTAAAACCGAAAGACTTGCTGAGATTTTAAGATTCCCAGTCAAGTGGCTACAGTGTTTGCCTGAAAGTTGTCTAGAAGTGACTGTGTGCACACTGCAACCCGTGCTGCTCAAGTGCTTAACCACCTGAATCTACTCAAGAAGAAAAAAACCAAAACTGTAGTG